CGAGGTGGCCGAATAACACCAAATATTTAATACGTTTAGTACCATTTTGAAAATCAGTAAATCATTCTTGCAGATATAAATTTCATTGTTACTTAACCGATGAATTCCAGTTATCTTAATGCCGAAATTTCAGGGTTTCAGCCCAACATATTGGGTAAATAAACTAAAATAAAAAAATCATTAAATAAATAAGCGAAATAAAAAATGTATCATTAAATTCGTAAAATTGGCGGTTAACAAATACTCCATAATATCGCATATTTGTTTTAATTAAAAAAAAAAAAATTCAAATTTTTTAGCACAATATTCCACTGCACACTTTTTCACCACTTCGAATTTTTAAACACGATTTTTTCACAAGATATGGAGCAAGCATTTCCCAAAAGCTCTATAGCAAATAAAGAAAATATGTGAAAATCGGTTTCATTTTATTAAATTTTATAAAATTTGAATTTTGATAATTTTTGAAGTTTTTGATATTATTTTCTCATGCCATTCAAGGTGAATTCTTCAGAAGGCGAAGTTGTCACATCATATGATTGCTTGTTCTTCCTTCCATTTCAACAAATTACACAAACAAAATACATGTGAAATAAGTTTTGACATTCAGAAAGTTGGTTTACAAAAACAAAATATAATAATAATTTTCGTTCTTGACATTTCGAAAATATGATTACACAAACAAAATACATTTCGTTTTTGTTTTTTGTATTCTTGATACTACCGTGTGTAAATTTGCCTTGATGCCATTCGTATAACATGACATTAAAAGTTAGAGTTGCTGGCAATAGAAATTTTTGTTAAAATAAAAATATTAATATTTACAATTTAAATTTTTTAAAAACTATTCAGAACGTTTTAATTGTGATTATTATTAATTTTTAAAAATTTGAATGCATTAGAATTTTATTGTCAATTTTAAGTTGTTTTGTAGCTAAAATTTAAAAATTTATTTTTAAATGTCTGGCAACCCACAAAATCGAGCCAACTTCGTCATTCAACATATGATTTCGCTCTTGTCGTAACCTCGTATTCTATAATCCTTAATATATGTATGTATGTGCGAAAATCACTTATAAATCACTGCAATTTTTTTGAAAAAATTCTCACAGTCACAAAAATAACTAAATAAAAACCATTTCATTGGATAGAGTTTGAGAAAAAAAGTCATCTTAGTCCAACAAAGCTCATCATCATCAATTTCCCTTACTCATCCAATATCAATTTTCTTCCCATACATGGTGGGTACATACATATATATATATATATATATATATATATATATATTCAATTCTTTACTTATTTCTGCGAGCAATGGATGACGATTATTCCTTAGAAATCAACGATCGCTAAAAATAGTGCAGCAACAGTTAAAAATACGACACTCAGCGACAGCGACAGCGATTCTGCGACCCATATGTAATAGTGATGTATCGAGCAACATTTTTTGCACTCCTTTTTTTTCGCATCACCAGCATTCACTTCATTTTAATGAACGCCATTTAATAGCGTAATACTCAAGATGACGACGACGAGCTGCAATTTACTTGCCCAAACAAAGGCAACAACAGGCGCTGTTGCAACAAAGAAATGCGGTGTAACAACCAACTCCCGGAGCTCACAGGCGAACCGACAAGCATATAATAACAGATTTACACATACATATGTATATATTTATATATATATGTGTATTTATTTATATGTATGCTTGTATGTATGGTTGCATTTGATCTTGGCTATAGAGACAACAACATGTTGCTCTTGCTGCAGCTTTTGTCAGTGATTGTATGTTTGTTTGTTGTTGTTGTTGTTATTGCTGCTGCCATTGATTGGCATCACCCATTTGTTGCTTGTCGTTTTATTTATTTCTTTTTTTTGTATTTTTCCCCATTTTGATTTTTCACTCTTTTTCTTGGAAGGCATTTTTAAGCGTTCAATGGCATTTCACTTAATGTCGCTTGGAGTGTTGGGACCGCAGCGCTTGGTTGGATAGCTGGACGCTCCTTACAGCGTGCTATACTTTTGCTTTTCTTCATGCTACTCCCCATCATACAAGAGATGGTGTGGGATGAGGTGGTGGTATGGCCTCGTCACATCTCCCACACACACACACACCAACACCAAATTACACTGCTTACTGATACTGACTCACAATGACTGATTTTTCAAGATCAAGGGCGAAATAAAAAAACAAGAAAGAAAACAAGTAAATATGTGTGTGTATTAATGTGTTGGTGAGGTTTGGAAGAAGGTGGTTGTCGCATCAGATATTACACTTTCTAAATATATATATATGTACATGACATAATGACAGCATTGCATTGCTATAAATAGATAAGCGTTAACAGGGCGATGAAAAAAAATGAACAATGAAACCGTAAGATGGCGCTGTGGTTTCGTGAAAAATAAGTGAATAAACTGTATATTTGAAAGAAACGAATTCTACATACGTGTATGCACATGTTTGGCATATACTTTTACTTTTAGCTGCAGAAGAACTTACTTACAAACGGTTTTGAATTTGTTGTTAATTTATTTATGTTCTATCTGTAGAGATTCAGCTGCTTTTATTGCAAGTGAAATTTGTTTTGAAGTAAATGCTATTTCCGAAAGAATACTTTATGCTTCAAGTACTTTCTGTATAAATTTTCTGTATAAAGTATTTTGTATTTGAAACGCTCCAACTCAACTCAGTGACTTCCAACGTTAGTTAATATTTTAAAAGCTCTACAAATGAATAGTACACATACATTAAAAAATACCCACAAAAAATTCTTTAGTTATCATATGATTCCATGCCAAAAATACATTTGCAAGAGCGGCAGCTATCAGACAAACAATTATATATAACTTATTTTAATTTAATTTTATTTTATTTCATTTCATTTCTTTTAATTTTTTTAATTTAATTTAAATCATAATGTATTTAGTTTTATTTATATTATTATATTTGATTTTATTTCAATTTAGTGTAGTCTATTTTATTTAATTTTACTTCATTTCATTTAATTTAATTTTTTTATTTTTTATTTAATTTGTTTTATTTAATTTAATTGAAATAGTTTTTCCTTAATTTAATTTTATTTAATCTTATTTTATTTAATGTAATTTAACTTTATTATATTTTATTTTATTTTATTTTATTTTAATAAATTCAATTTTGTTTTATTTTATTTTATTATGTTTTATTTTATTTCATTTTAGAGTATATTATTTTTTTTTTTTAATTTTATGTGTTTTTATTTTATGTGGTTTTATTTCATTTTATTTTAATTTATTTCATTTTATTTAATCGAAATTGTTTTTCTTTAATTTAATTTAATTTTACTTTATTTTATTCAATATTATTTAATTTTATTATATTTTATATTATTTACTTTATTTTATTTTAATTAAATTCAATTTTATTTTATTTTATTCTGTTTAATTTTATTAAATATTCTTATTTCAATTTAGAGAATATTATTTTTTTATTTCATGTGTTTTTATTTTATTTTATTTTAATTTATTTTATTTTATTTAATCGAAATTTTTTTTCCTTAATTTAATTTAATTTCACTTTATTTTATTCAATATTATTTAATTTTATTAATTTACTTAGATTTTTTTTATTTAATTGAAGTTAATTTTCCTTAATTTAATTTAATTTAATTTTACTTTATTTTATTTGATATTATTTAATTTTATTTATATTTTATTTTATTTACTTAATTTTTTTTTCATTTAAATTAAATTAAATTTTCTTTTATGTTTCTTTATTCTGTTTAATTTTATTTTATTTCAATTCAGAGTATATTATTCTATTTTGTGTTGTTTTATTTTAATTGGATTGAATTGAAGTTAATTTATATTTAATTTATTTTATTTAATAAATTTTATTTTATTTTATTAAGTTTAGTTTTATTTTATTTCAGTTTAGAGTATATTATTTTTTTTTAATTTATGTTGTTTTTTTTTTTATTTTATTTTAATTGAATTGAATTGAAATTAATTTAATTTTGGTTTATTCTATTTCTTTTAATTTATCAGATTTTATTTTATTTTATTTTTTAAATTATATTATTTCAGTTTATTTTATTTGAATTTAGATTATTTTATTTTTTTTTCATTTCATGTCATCTAACTTTGCTTTTTAATTCTGTTTCTCTTTATGTTTATGTTTTATTACTCTATTTTATTTTAATTTTAATTATATTGTTTTAATTTATATTATTTTAATTGAATTGAATTTTATTTTAATTTTTTTAAGTTTATTTCACTTAACTTATTTTAATTTATTGGATTTTATTTTATTTTATTTTAAATTTTTAACTTCATTTCATTTTATTTTAATTTTTTATTTGATTTCCTTTTATTTTATTTTATTTTATTTAAGGTTACTACTACTACTACTTTATGATAATTTAATTATTTAATTTTTTATTTTAATGTTGCTTTTTTTAAATTTACTAATTGCTTTTTTTTTGTTTTAATCAAACTCATTTCTTTTCTGATTTAATATAGTTTTCTTTTATTTTGCTTTCTTTTATTTTAATTGACTTAATAATATTTTATTTCTTTTTGTCTTTTCTATTATTAATTTAGTTTGCCTTGTATTTCTTAATTTTATATATTTTTATATATTTCATAGCATGACCGCAAAATCAAATTACATTTATATATTTTTATTACATTTTACATTATTTTGTTTTAAATTTTCTTATTTTTAGATACGTAATATTCATTTATTTTACTTTATTTTTTCAAGTTCGTTTCATTTCATTTAATTTTATTTCATTTTACTTTATCTTATTTTTCTTTAAGAAAATAATAGAAACTGATAGAAGAAATCTTTCTAAACACCAGATAATTACATTATTTGCCTTATCTCTACCTCAGGTAAACTTTTTACAAAATATTTACACAGAGCAAAACTCAAATATTTATTAAGATAAATACCAATATATGAAAGGCTTCACAAAAATATGAAATTTCTGTTTAAGGAAAAATTGCGCACTTACAATTCACTCACGCGTTCACCCTGTGCCGCTGCCGCAGCCGCCGCCGCAGCAGCAACTTGTCGTAACAGAGCAGCTGCTGTGCATGTGTCAGCCGCTGCCGCCACCCCATTTGTAGTGGGTGATGGTGATGCAGCTGTTTTCATTGTCGTTGTTATAGGTTGCCGATTTGACTGAGCAACAGGTTTTGTTGTTGCTGTATTCAATGTCGCTGGTAATGTTATTATTGTTTTCGCCGCAGCCACTTCTGCGTTATTGGTGGGCTCGCAATGAAAACCACGATCTTCACGCACCATATAAGCCGGCAGCGTTTCGATAATTGCATTTGCCTTGTCGTTGTATGAACCGAGAAGCTCACGATATTTCGAGTAGACAATGCGTTTTAGTTGCGGATGTTTCGCTGCGTTCGGTGTTGCAGCAGCACTTGCTTGCATTGTAGTGGCCATTGCGATAGGGCAGAGAGACAGGGAAGATCACTATGTATATATTGTTTTTTTTTTTTTTTTGTGTTAAATAATCTTCAAACTGTGTGATAGCTGGACCGTACTATCCATGCAAATAAAGATTTCATGCATTTTATTTTGTCTTGTGTTTTTTTTTTTTTTTTGTGTTAATTAAATATGCTAAATTTATTTTTATATTATTTTTTAAACAAAAGAGAGTTTAATCACTTTTTGTTTCACACAATTTCACTCTGATATAGACTCGTGTGTGTGTGCGAAATGTGTAAAAACAAATCCAGATGTTTTATTATTAATTTTCTTTTATTAAATGCGTATTTTAAAGTTCACTCTAGAGCACTTTTCCTCACGTTAAACAATTAATTGTTGTTTGTTGTTGTTGCAATTTTTTTGCGTTGCTGATGTAAACACGTATTAAATTTCCACAGCTGCTGCATATGTACATATGTGCATACATATGTAAATATATTTATTATTATTCCGGTTCAATTGATTTTATTACTTTTTAATAATCGCTTAATTGTTTCGCTTTATTCACTCACTGCTGCTACCTTTGCTGGTAAGCCTATAAATTTTATGATCAATTGTACACCGCTATGTATACATACACGCAACCATATATATTCATTTGGACGTGCATATATGTGACTAAACATTTCCATATAAAAACATCATTTATCGTTATACACTCAATTAAAAGTTGAAGTGTGGGTGCCGCCAAATACCTTTATTGCAATAATATCACCTTACAGCGGCATTAAGTACAAAGTATTCATAAATTTTCTACGAATATATGTGTATACATATCAATTTATACTGGAATTTACTCTTTTTAGTATACTTTGTATGTATGCCTGTCAAGCAAAAAATCAAAGGAATTGATTTAATTACCCCGATCAATCCATATAGATAGAAGCGAGTACATCTTGACCTTTTTTACTGGCAGCTATACATGTTTTTATAAAAACAAATACATTTTACAAAATATTGGAAAGATACTTTTTCTAAATTTACCCATTTTGGAGAGTTATTTAAAAAAAAGAATTTAATTTTAAAATTTATTTTTATGAAGGTTTATTTTTTAAATGTTTATTTTTAAAATAATTATCTGACAATAATCACCTAAAATATATTTAAATATTAATAAGAAACAAAAATGGTTTAAATAAATGCTTATTTCTTTCGTTTATTTAATAGATACTATTTTATTTTTTATTACATTTTTCTATTTCCTTTTTCCAACTCATTTATTAATAATTTTTTATATTAAATAAAATAAAAAATAAAATTTCAATAATTTAATGAAATAAAAAGTACATATTAGCTTATTTTAATTATTGTATTTTTCTTATTTCATTTTTTTATTTTCTTTAATTCTTATTTTATATCTCATTAAATTATTGAGATTTAATTTTTTATTTTATTTAATTTTTTTTTGTATCGTATTATAGGTAAAATATTTTTTAGTAAATTTATTTTAATTTTATTTTATATCTTTATTATATTTCTTTTATTTTATTGACCATTTTAAAGTTTTCTTTAACATTTCATCTATTTATATCATATATTATATTATTTTTATTTATTTACTTCATTTCATGTTATTCTATCTTATTTATTTATTTAGTTTAATTTAAATAATTTTAATTTAATTAAATATATTTTAATTTTTTTTATTTTGTAATAACTTATTTTATATTATCTTTGAAATTATTTTTTTCGCTTTATTTTATCCCATCTCACATAAGTTTATTTTATTTTAATTAAATAATTAATTTTTTATCATTTATTTTTTAAAAAAATTTCATTTAGTTCTTTTTGTTTTTATATTCTTTTATGTGAATTAATTTAAAATTTTTGGCTCATTTTCTATATTATTTTTTTGTTATATTATTTAAATTTGCTAACTTTTTAATTCCATATTGGCTTATTTCAATTATTATTCTTATTAAATTTTTTAGTTTTTTTTTAATTCTTAAATTATATTAAATTAAATTATTTTATTTTATCTATTTCATTTTTCCTGCTTTATTTCATTTTATTTTATTTAAGGTAAATTGATTTTTTAGTAATATTATTTGAAGTTTATTTTAAATCCATTTTATATTTCTATTATTTCATTGAGCTTTTTTAAGTTATCTTTTAAATTTTATTTATTTATTTTATATTTTGTATTATTTTTATTTATTTATTGTTAATTCATTTTATTTATTTATTTAATTTCATTTTTTATATTTGATTTTTTTATTATGTTATTTGTTTATTTATTTTGTTTTGTTTCATTTTACTTCATTTCACATAAGTTTATTTTATCTTTTTTAGCTTTTTTAATTTAAATTTCTATCAAATATTTTATATTATATATCATTTTTTGATATTTGTTTTTATATTTCTCTAGGTTAATTAATTTTAAATTTTATATCATTTTCTATACAATTCTATTGTTATTTTATTTAAATCCGTTTATTTTTTTTTCATATCAACTTATTTTAATTATTATAATTATTTTATTTGATTTCATTTTATTTCATTTCGTTTTATTTTGTTATATTTTATTTTATTTAGTTTAATTCAATTTAATTTATTTAAAATATTCTTTATTATTTTTGTTGTTATTTTATTTATTTTTTTTTTTCATTTTGTTTATTTTTTTTTTTTTGTATTTAGTTTAATTGAACTAATAATTTAATTTTTTATATTATTTCATTTTATTTTATCTCTATATTTTAATTTATTTTATTTTATTTGTTAAAATTCGTTTTACTTTATTTTATTTCATTTTACTTTACTTGAATTTATTTAAAATTATTTATATATTTTTATGTTGTGTTTTTGATTTTAATTTTATTGTATTAAAATTTTAATTCAATTAATTAAATGCTGTGTGTTTAGTTTTATTTACATTTGTTTTTTTACTATAGTTTTATTTATTTTGGTTTTTATACTAAATTTTTAATTTCATTTTATATTTTTTCATTTTATTTTTTTTTTTTAATTTGTGTTAATTTAGTTTTTTTTTTATTTTAATATATTTTTTTTTCTATTCATTTCTCTTCTTTTATTTTATGTTATTTATTTTATTTTAACTTATTTTTAATTATATATTTTTATTTATTATGATTAATTTTTAGTGATGTTCGCTTTTTTTATTTTATTTTATTTTTTTGTATATATTTTGGATGTTTTTATTATTTATTATTTTGTTTTTTTTTTATTTTTTATTTTTTTAAATTTATTTTGTTTAATTTCATTTTATTTATATTAATAAGCAGTTAATAGCTGTCAAGCGATTAAAGAACTGTTCAGTCTCAACCCTAACATTTACCAAAAGATATTCTTCATGTGTTTAAGATAAACATAAATAGAAATGTTCAGACACTTCGTTATTTTGGTGTTCCACCATCTCTTCTGGGTTAAGCAGTACTTAACGGTAACTGCAAAATATTTCAACCTAAAGCCAAAAAGGAGAACCGACAAAGGACACACACAGTGATTTTTTATGGATCATAAAATTGGCCGCTGCCAATAAATAACACTTACAGCGAAAAACTAAATTACACACACAGTGTATGTAAAACAGGATATGCATTACAGTTGTGCCTTAACTCTCTAGTCATCAAAAGCCGTAAAATTCATAATAAATATTCTTAGCATGTCGACCAAAGTCTAACGAATGGTTAAGTGCCACAAACCTATAAACAAATCGTAAAAAAAATCTAGCAATAAATTCGCACCCGGAGTGGGGTCAAATTCAGTATCCAACCGCATATATATGTATACATGTATATATGTACTCAATAACACTCGTATATGAGGTAATAATAATAAGCTTAACGCTATAAATACGCTTGACTGAGCACAGTGAAGAGATCCTGCTTGATATGATCATTAATGAGAAGATCACACACTTATAGACATACACACACATATATGTGTGTTTCTGTTTTGTAATAACGCATTTGCCCTCATTTACCGATTGCCAATTTGCGGTCAAATAATTGTACGATGACGCTGATAAATAACTAGTGCGAAATTATTTTCCTTTGCCATGATCAACAATGATCGTGTGCGATCTTCTTCTTCTTAAATCAATTAAACAAATAATCATACAGTTGAGCTTGCGTTGAACTTCTATCATTCAATTCAATTAACCATATGAGGAAATCAATTTTTGAGAAAATAATGCTGACTCATAGCTAGTCTTAGATACGTTAAAGCAAAATATCAAAAATCAAGGCGACATTGCACGAAAGATCAACAGCTGATCGATGCGCACAAGCGAGAATTTTTTATACCCTTCATGAAGTAATCCGTACTGCTGTTTTTTAGTAGCAGAAGCAGCAGATATCTATGTCATATGCTAAGGTTAACGAGAGTCAAACTGATGTCACATTCTGGGTGTACCAGTCGAATTGGACGATTATAAGGCAAGGTCACCATTCAACCGATTTGTTCGAAAATGCATTTTTGAGGCAAAACCGTCGAGCATAAGCAATAAAAACATTATTCTTTTTACTGTAGTGTGAATTTCGTAATTGAAATTAATAAAATCGCACTACTTTGTGATGCCGTTTCCACAAAACCTTTCTTTTGAGTTGAATTTTTTGTCATGAATATTCGTCTGAGAGTTAAAATCCACACGTGAAAGGTATATGCCAGCAAATAACGTCACTTATTTCGTCCCTTTTCCATTTCTCTTTGTCTAAGGGTTATTGCGACGTGTATTTTCACGAGAAAAAGACGTACAAAAATGTATTAATGATCACGTCATAGACAAAAAAAAAAAAAAACTCCACTAAAATTGTTCTTAAAAACTTCTAACGAAGTAGAAAATACGATAAAATAAATTCTTGAGCGTGAGATTAAACCTTTTAGTGTGATCAATCGCACGTTTTACTGCTTCAGTGCTTTGTAGCAAGTATGTCTATCTGTATATCTGGCTGTGTGGCTGATCTTGGCTGACATTAACTTGGTGTTCGCCTCTGGGCTAATAGGGCAGTCAGAGCAAATATTATATTTGTATATTTATCCTCACCAGGTAAATATTCATACACACATATGTATGTTTAAGTCAAATGTATGTACATATATATGTATGAAGGTAGATGACAGCATTTCTGGCACAAGGTAAATGCGGTTGGCAGCCGCAGAGTATGCATACACACATATGTATGTAAGCCACTGGGAGGCCACGAAATGTATGTGGTGAGTTGGGAGCGTGCGATCTGCTAGAGGTGTACTCTAAGATACCGCATTCTCGTATAAATAACACATACATACATATACACATACATACGTTTATGTATTTATGTATAAACAACCTTATAACTCGAAATTTTTATGTACATATATATATATATTATATATGTTTTTACAATATATTTCTTTATATATGTTATTGTGTCACTCAAACGCTGGCGTACATGATGTAGTTGTTGTTTTGTAGATATGTATTTATATAAAATTTTATATTTAGCTATGCCATGATGATTCATCACGTCCATCCATATCAACAAGCACACATTATCGGAGTCTCCTGTGGCACTTCCCTGCTTACTCAGGCAGACACTCACTCATTCATTGTTCTTCGGTTCACCTCTATTATCGCCTTTTGTTCTCTGACACCATAGCGGCGTTGGTGGTGCTTGGTTGGTTGGTTGGTTGGTTGGTTCCAAGCATAAATATCAACTAACAAGCAAGCACACATATGTATGTACATATAAATATATGTGAGTATGAATGCCCACTTGTGGTCTGTGTCAGAATTTTCGCCACAAGTTATTCGAGTAATGTTAATAAATAAAATTAATTTGAATGAAAAACTGCAGTGAGACGCGCACGCAGACACACACATATATATATATATATATATATTCAATAAATATGTACTTATATTTGTATGTATCATACATATGTACATGCGTACAGCTATATGTATGTATGTAAATGGAAAAAAGGCCAAAAAGTTCAAATAATAAAAAAACGTCTTAAATCTGCGGGAAATTGCAGAAAGTGTGTTATTTCTTTAAGCGGAAAAATTATTATTTTTGCACTCACACATACAACACACCTTTAGTGTTTACTATAAATTTATGTGCATGCGTGCATTTATTTAAATATTTTATATGGAACATTTACGTTCTCACGCAGCTAACCGCATTTATTTTTTTGTGATTAATAGGCATGAAAATTTGTGGAAAATGTAGAAAAAACAAAACGTTTTCTTCTCACAAAAGAAAATAAAAAATAAAAAAAACCGATTTTGAGTAATATGTATATTTCTTTTTGATGTTTTTCTGCGCTAATTGCATAGGTGTTGATAAATGAACAAGGAATGTTTCAATTTAAATCCCCACAACTGTAGTTTAGGTTAAAATTTGTTATAAAAACTTGTTACGATTTGAAATTTTTCTTACAATTTAACAATGAAAACCTCAAAAAAAAAACAGTAAAAGTGTTACAAGGTGTAAACTATAAGAAAGCTAACTGATGAGTCTTCAGAGCATTTTCTAGACAGTAGATATTTTCATTTAATTTTATCATTTTATTTCAATTTTAAATATACATCTTTTAAGCGCTGCCTAATTTTATAAAATTGCAAATTTTTTAATTCTTTCAGTTTTATTTTTTGATAAAGATTGAAAAACTATAATTAAATATATAATTTTTCAATATAATAATAAAAATTCTAAGTATATTTGAATTGATCTATATAAAAAAAAACAAAATTTCTCTAACCCTTAATTTCTTAAAAAAAATTTATAGAATTTTTTACCATTTTTGGGGTTGCTAATGAAATATAATTTTCCCATTGATTTTATGTACAGTAAAAGTATTTTTTTTTTTTTGAAATGTATAAAAATCGTAGTAATTTAGTAACTAATTATGGATTTAAAAGGTGCATATGAGTGTTAGAAATATGTCGCGGAAGGGAGCGGCATCACCCGCGTTAAAAAAATTTACTTGTATATCAGAAACCATTAAACATAATTTTATAAAATTTTGTTACTTATATTTCCCACGCTATGGTATGAACACGAATACAATATGGCGGCGATCGAGCATCAACTACGTGCAGTTTAAACAATTTGACTCAATATTTTAGGCATTGCCAAACTTTGCAGAAGTAATATGTTCATTGGGAAGTATGTATATAGGTTCAGAAGTAGGTCTTTTTCCATATACAATTTTTGAAGGAGCTGTGGTCTTAGCAGCGGATATACATATATTAAATATTTTTAATTATTTGTATTTTATTTAATTTATTTTTTTATTTTCTTTTACTTTAATTTAATATAATTTTATTTTCTCTAATTTCATTTAATTTTTACTCATTTTATTATGTTTTCATTAATTTATTATAGTATTTTAGTTTATTTATATTTTAATTTTTAATTACTTTTTTATCATTTTTTATTATTTTATATATTTAATTTTAATTTTTAAATTTCTATTTAAATTTTCATTTTATTTTAAATTTATTTTATTGTAATATAATTAAATTTTTTAGAATTATTATTTTTTTATTTCATACAACTTTATTTTATATTATGTTATTTTATTTTATTATATTGTATACTACTTAATTTTATTTAAATAATTTTTATTCTGATTTTGACTTTCATATTATTTATTTAATTTAGTTTAGGTTTAATTTTATTTTACTTTATTTTGTTTAATTTTATTTTTTATTAAATTTTTTGTTATATTCTTAAATTTATTTCAATTATTTTTATTTTAATTTTTATGTTTTTTATTAATTATAATTAAATTTTATTATACTTTATTTTATTTTATTTAAATTTTTTATTATTCTTTTAAATTTCTTTTAATTATTTTTATTTTAACTTTTATGTGTTTTATTTAATTTAATTAAATTTTATTATAATATATTTTATTTTATTTTATAAAATTTAATTTTATATTATTTTATTTTATTTTGTACTACTTAATTTTATTTATATTATTTTTATTTTATAAGTTTTATATTATTTATTTAATTTAATTTTTTAATTTTGTTATACTCATTTTTATTTTGTTTTAGTTCATTTAGTTTTTCGTATTTTGTGTTATTTATTTAAATTTATTTTATTGTATTTAATTTTTTTAAATTTTATTTTATTTTACTTTTTTATACTTGTTGCATTATAAAATTCTTTTCTTAATCTTACGCCATTTTTAAATTTTTTACCTTACTTGATTTCATTGCACTTTATTATATTTTTTTTTTTTTCCTTTTACATTATTTGATTTTACTATACGTTATTTTATTTTAGTTCATTAATTTATACTTTCTTATTTATATTAATTTATTTTATATTATTTTATTGCAATAACATTTTTTTCATTTATTTTATATTATTTTAATATATTTAATTTTATTTTATATATTTTTTTATGTTATTGTTTTAAAATAATTTTATTATAATTTATTTATTCCATGTGTAAAATGTTTGCCCTACTTTAGTTCTTTTCCCTTTATTTTATTTTTAGTTAATTAATTAATTTATTTAATATAAATATTTTTTAAATAACGTAATTCATTTCCTTATATTTTCTCATTTTTATTTTATGTACATATTCTTTTATTACAATTTTTTGTTTATTTTATTTTATTTTTCTTTATTTCTATTTTTATTATTCTATATTTCATTTTATAACTTTTTTAGTTTTAATTATATTTTGTTTTGTTTTAAAATTTTTCACTTTGCTCTTCATTTTTGTTTTATTACATTATAAATGTACATGTATTTAAATAAAAATTGTCAAATATATTTTAATTCGTTTTTTTTCTTATTCTTAGTTTGTTTGGTTTGTTTAATTCATTTTAAGTTTTTTACTTTTAATTCGACACAAGAAGTTAATGGGCAATTTCTTTTTATTCGATTTTTTGGCTTTTTACACAAATCTTTGCATCACAACGCTATGCTTTATTTATTAAACATAAAAAACTGTTTATAAAAATGTGTAAATATAATAAATAAATAAAACTTTGTCATAAAGAAAGCACAAAAATTGTTATCAGCGCGCAGCACCCACACTTGTCAACATGTGATATCAGTCCAATGAACAAAACAAAAATCGTTTTTTCTTATACAACATGCAAATCAGTCAGTTATTTGCAGTTTTCAGTTCAAATTTATACAAACAAAAAAAAAGCAAGAAATACACAAGTAAAAAATCAACGTTAAATAATCTCAATTTAAATAACTACGCGCAGCAGCCAGCAATGAAAATCGTGGTAGTTTTTTTAAAACGTTGTTGACACTTGAATTACGCGGTCTTACGCGCAACGCCGACAAACATTGTTAATTCGTCTCAAATAAGCGCAACTGAACTGAAGTGAACTGAACGGCACGAAAGGTAAGACAATACAAACCGAGCTCGAGTGGAATATGTATGAGCAGAAGACAAATAGCAGTTAAAGCGAATTGACGAACTGCACGCCGCGATGTTTGGACGCGCAATGAGTTGAGACGCTCGTTCGAAAACGGCGCTGAGGCTAGTCGCTAAACCGACGACACAGCTGGGGAAATGTGACGTTTCAGCAACGATAGCAACAGAAAAAGAGGCGGCGGTAGCAACAAATTGAAGTGGGCAACTTTTATGTACAGTGTTCTGAATGCGATTAAAATTTAATAAAAAAAATATTTATTTTTAAATACACCGTTTTTCTCATAACAAAAAAAAAAAAATTAAAGCGAAACAGCATCACCACAACATCATGTCTTTGCTGATTGGTTTTTTTGAAATGCTTGAAAATGAGCCGGAAATTCATTGAGAAACCATTTTGACTGATGCGGCCCATTTCCTCGGTTCGGAAAACCCAAGATTTATTATTGGAAAGCCTCTTCATCCTCATTTTGTTACTGTTTGGTGCGGCTATGGTTCGCCGAGGTCTTTGGACCTTACTATTTCTGGAGAAAAAGTTACGGTGAATCGATTGCTCTCTCGAGAAATGATTAATGTTATTTTATGTCCGGAATTGGATGATATCGATTTGGCTAAAGTTTACCTTCAACAAGATGGCGCTGTATGCCATAAAAGCAACGAATCTATCTTTTAAGAGAAAAGTTTCCGGATCGTACAATTTCTCTAAGAGGTGAACGCAATTGAACACCGAGAACTTGTGGTTTACCACCTAGCGATTTCTTCCTTTGCGGCCAAGTGAAAGATAAGGTTTACGTCAGAAGGCCAAACTTCGATGCCAGACATCAAAGGTGGAATTCGTGAAGCTATTGAGCGCATACATGTGCTACTTTGCGATATTTTGATGGAAAGTTTCATAAAAAGAATACGATACAATAAGCGTAGCCGTGGCAGTCATTTGGCTTATATGGTTTTCCATTAATAATGGCATATCTTCGTTTTTTGCTCTTTTCATCGAAATAAACTTCGACCATTTATCTCCAAAAAAAATGTAATTTTTCTTTCCACATGAAAATAACACCTCTTATTGGAAAACCCTGTGTTATATGATTCCATTAACCAAGACTCTCGGCATGTAAAAGAAGTCTATCGAGAAACTCAAACATTTTGAGGCGATAAAATTGAAAGGTTATCATCACCAGCATCATCATATATGGTTTATTAAAATAAATCAGAGAATTGTGAGCTGAGCTTTCATTCCTCAAAAGCTTGTCGCATTTTCGAATTTCCAACGAGATTTAGATATTTTTTCTGCATATTTCACGCAAATTTTTTTTTACCACAATTTTTTGGGTTTCGCGCCACTGTGCGACGCTGATACAAGTGGTGGGGTTACTAAAACAAATGTATCTGGGTTTATTTGTAACCACTTTTCTGCTGTGTTGTACGTGCAAGTGCTGGTTTTGTTGTGCGGTTTCGCTGTATGTACATATGTATGTACTTGAATGTGTATTGGGTATAAAAAATGATCTTGTTTTGTTGTTGTTGGTTATTATTGCCGATATTGATCATGTTGCATTGCCTTCATTTGTTTAGTTTTTTGCTTTTGTAGTACTTGCGTTGGTCTAAAATTGTGGTTAACAATATTTTTTGTTGTTTCTTTGTTGTTTGATACTTTTATTTTCATGCCAAATTGTTTTATCTCTTCGATGCTCTTCTTTTTGTGGAAATGAAGCGACAAGAAAAGCAAAATATCTTGGAAACGAGAAGCGGCATGAAAGCGCGCTGCATGATGACGCCGAAACGCCAAAGTCACGCCACAAAAAAAAAACGAAAAAGAGACCACAACGCGATTTGGCTGCCGTCCGGTCTGTACTCGTACAAACACACCCATGCAGGTTGTGGCTGTAGTCGCAACAAGCCAGCCTACCGTCCAAACAGCCGACTGTGAGTGGCATGCAGGCGGACAGCTACGGCAGAGGGCCAGACTTTGGTATGACTATTGGACTAGTCGCAGCCAGAAGTTACTTGCAGCAACGCAGGCAAATTACTGTCGCAACTAATGGGCAAAGTTGTTTGTGGCTGATTGTCGTCGCTAGAGTTGTGGGCTTGCAGTGGTTGGCGCAAAATTTCTGGAACAACCGCCAGAGCACTTGTGTATATGCTTGTACGAGTATACGTGTAAGCGTCCCACTGCCCAGCAGCAGCGCTTAATGTGGGCAGTTGCCACTTACCAGAGTACTGCTTTTGAGAAATTAAAATTAAAAAGAATTATTATATTATTAATATTTTCATTCAATTTAAATTAGGAACAACTTATTAATCTATTAAGCCGGAAGTTGTTGGCTAGACGTATAAATCAAGGTGGGAGCGTATTTGAAATCTCAAAAACTTCTAAAATACCTTCAAACTTCGAGCCGTGCGCTCAGCTGTGTCAATGATGCTTTAATTTGAGCACGGGAGTTTTGGAGAGAATTGATCCTTCTCGATGTGTCTAAAAAATGTGCCGTAAGTAAGAGCTCAACCAGCTGAAAACGTGCGGATCTAGCTGCTACGAACTCTCTTATGAGAAAGACATGCAAATGGGAAGATACTACCGTGTAAAATTGTGTTTATTGACGGCGATTGGAGAGAAATCTTGAGCGATTTGAATTTTTGCCGTAAACCGGCTTTCAAGATTTAATTTTCTAATTTCAAGCTACTAGCGTAAGTTTTGACTCTATGTTCTCTTACAGAGGAAAGAATGTGGACTGTGATAGTTAATTTACAGCCAGTTGATTCTAGCATAACTCATGCTTTTTATATTTTTCGCTTTCAATGCGGCTCCGACTACCTGTTAGTTTTAACGGTTTTTGTGAAAAACTTCATGTTGTCTTGGTACAACCCGCTTCTGGATTAAAAAATATATGACAGAAACCACTTTAGAAGATTCAGTAAAATTTAATGCTAATACTTCCTATGAAACCTAATTAAATATGCAGGCAATCGGGCAACAACTACACTTTTGCCTTATATAATAGAATGGGCTTTTTACTTTCCGTCCCCTGCTTGACTTAAGATCGAACATTTAAGACATTAGTCAACAAAGCCAACCAAGCTTGGTAATGCTTTGCGTAATATGGACCAGTTATTGAATATATACGACAGATTTTCCAGGTTAGAGATTTTGGATCCAAAATTTCTGAAAAAAAAAACATATTCTTCTTCTTTTTTTTTGGTGTAGACACTGCTTACTCCAAGTAAACAAGAGCGCCATTCAGTCCATCTTTTCACAGTGCAGCCAGATACTTTTCTACCAGATCTTTTAAACGAAGTGGAGGTCTTCCTTGGGTCATTTGCTTCCATCGGCAGGTACTGCATCGAGAATTTTCAAAGGTGAATTATTTTTATCCGTCCGGACCACTTGATCTAGCCAGCTATTGCCTCTGTCTCTTGGTTCGCTCAACTAAGTTTATGTCGCCGTATATCTCGTAAAGCTTATCATTTCATTGGTTGCGGTATTGGCCGTTACCTACTCGTAGAGGACCGTAAATCTTACGCTAAACTTTTCTCTTGCAAACTCCTTACGATGGCACATCAGGTGTTGTTAGCGTCCATGCCTCCCCAACCGAAAGCACGTCGGCAATTATGAGTGATTTGTAGTGTTTGGTTTCTGTTCGTCGCAAGTGGACTTTACTTTTCTATTGCCTACTCAGCTCAAAGTAGCATCTGTTGGCAAGAGTGATTCTGTGTTGGATTTTTAGTTTGACATTGTTGTTGGTGTTAATACTGAATCCAAGATCTTTGAAGTTATCAACGACGTCACGGCAATGAATACCAACAGTGACTTGGTAGTCAAGGTTGTTTGATAACAGAAGATATTTCGTCTTGTCCTCGTTCACTACCAGACCCACATCCATCGCCTCGTTATTCAGTAAGGAAAATTCTGAGCACATGGATGGGTTGTCGAGGTTGTCGGAAGTTTCGTTTGGTTTGAAAGTATCTAGGAGTGCTGAAAATTATCAATCTCATGCGACTATAACATACGACTATGTATAGCTCCCATATGCCGATTGATTTCAGTTAAGAGATTTTGGTGAAAAATCTTTCAAAATAGCAGCTACTAGCGTGTGATTGGTGTGCTGCACACGTACATATCAATAAACTTTGACAGCGAAATAAATCATATTGACCCCATACAACAAATTTTTCAGTTATGAGAAATTAATATTTAATCCTAAAATAAAATGCCATAAATTTGAGGACAGCTCTTTTTTTCTTGTTTCTTTTGCCTGTATTTTTTTTCTGAATTTTTCCTCAAATTACTGTTAAATTTTAGGTCTCTGATTGCTTTCTGCCACGTTTACATTTATCTTCAAATTTCATTTTCAACTAAGCGGACTATTTACATATGATACATACTTATAAATATGTATGTATGTATGTATGTATGTGTAAGCTCTGCAAGCAATTTAATTTCCTTCTAAATAGCTTTCTTCTAATCTATACCTAAATTAGTAATTCGTTTTAATGTTATTTTTTTTTGTTTGTTTTTTTTTTTTGTTGTTAACTTTTGCTTTTAGCTGTTTAATTATTGTAGTTATTTTTTACGCAATCATATAATAGCTGTCAATCTTTTCTTACCTTTTTCACTTTTTTTTTTGATTTTAGGTTTTTTTGTTGTCTTGTTTTTCTCATTTGTGAATACGAAATTTCGCTATCACTTTAATTGTTTTCGCTTTATTCGCTGTGTATTTTTTGCTTTTAAATTATATTTCGTTAGTTTTTGTTTAACTTTATGCTTTTTATCTTTTTTCTGCTTTAATAATTTTTATTTATGCATACATACATATATATTTGTAGCCCATTTTTTTTGCTCTTGTTGTCTATTGCGAAATGGTTTGCCTTTATTTTCCAATTGTTGTGCAAATTACGGTGTTTACAAACATTTTTTTTTTATTAAGAGGAATATATATGTATAAAAAATAAAAAATTAAAAAAAATTTAATCAAACAAAAAACCTTTCATTCCACGAGTTTCAGCTGAAAATTGATTGATGTAATTAATCTCTTACATGTGTGTGTTGTTACTGTTTCTTCCACATCCATATTGTCAATATGTAAGCGAATTTATTATCTAACTGTTGCAACTCCAGGCGCCAATAATGGAAAATTAATTAAACCAGCTTTCGCCTTTACTAGTTGATAAGTGGATTTTTTAGTTTTATATTTTTTTTTTTTTTTACTTTATTTTCTTTTCAATTTTCTTGCACTCCGTTTCGCTTTTTAATTAAAGCGAAAAATCCAAATATTACTTGTAAGCCAGCGTAAATATGATTAATGATAAGTAACTACAAGGTGTCGCTAATTACTGAGCGATTTAGTAAGCGCTAATTT